AATGATGAACTTTTTCAAATCACTAAAAAATGCGTTTAATAGCCCCACATCATCGACTAGTGTATCGCCAATTGGGTAGAAGAAGGAACAAGTGGCACATTTTGTTGTTGTAGTGGCGTTGACGATTTTTTGCAGTTGCTGCTGTTGTGGGTGAGATAGTACAAATAAAGAGTGGTGTCTTTCTCTTTGATAAAAAGGAAAAGAAGTCAAATATGGAGAGTTAGAGGAACTACTACTGGAATTTGAACCAGAGTTAGTTCCGATAAAGGGAAGGCCAGAAGTCGAAAAGTCGAAGTCTTCAAAAGACGATCTGTTATTTGCATCGCCCTCGATAGTCGAGAGTAAATTTGAAGGATAAAGATTCGATAAAGCCCGTGGTTTGATTGATAAGCTTTTCTTAAGTAAACTTTGACTCGAAGAAGTAGAAAGACTTCGACGATTTCTCGCTTTTACAAGTTTACCTTCTACACCAGTTGCTTGCTGTGTGGTAGGAACCGTTAAAGAGGAAGTTGGAATTTGAAAAGTTACAGGGGTTGTTGGAAGAGAAGCTGGTAGACTTTTTGGAGCAGTATGTTCGCCAGGCAGAGAACGCGAAAACGGTCTCCGAGATTCGTTCATATTATTCGATTTACTGAAGTACACAGTATCTCCTGGACTCCTGATGCACTATTTTACGATTAAAAGAGAAAAGAAAGTCTATAACAGGAGAAATTTTGGAGGGAAGTCTTGGGAAAAGGAGTAAAAACTTTAAGAGAAGAATGGTTCATTCGAACAGTTGGCCTTCTTCAATTTTAAGTAAGCTATAAATTTACATGAGTGGTGTTGTGTGGAGAGATGGTGACAATTTGATTTTTTTTTTTCTAATGTATGAAAATCAAAAAGAATCAACGTCACTAATACATTCTCTTGTCTTTACATGCAATTAGCTTCATCTCACACACTCTTATTAACGCGCATTGATCGTATTGCTCGAACCATTCTAAAGACTGCTGTTCATGATTTATTACATCTCAACGTTGCTGTTGAGATAATGAAAGAACTTCAGGAATTAATGGAAGCACAACGAAAGATGGCTGTTGGTAATGCTGATGCCGAAGACTTGTTAACGAAATTAATTTACGTTTTCGCTGATGTTACAAGAGCTGTTGAAGCAGTGGTAATTATATCATTCGATTGTTAGTTCCGTAAAGTTATTACTGCAATTATGTTATTTATGTTATCTAAATTAATTTGGAGTTAGAATTGTCCTTGGGCTGAAACGCATCAAGAATTTTCGGGTGATGGCGGAATAAATGATACGTTGACAACTGGTTCAGAGTGGTCTTCACCATTGCCGTCGCCATTGCTTCCCACGACTCCATCTTCATATTCTCCGCCTCTAATATTACATGAAAGGCGCAAGTCTTCCTTAGAAATCGATGGAAATAATAAATCAAATGCACTTTTATCACCACAACATGCGTATTCGTCTCCATTAGCTCGTCATGTTACTATGCCCCCAATAACGCCAGCCTCCAAAATTACTCTTGAACAGCGTCGTGCTTCTGCGAATGAAGCGATATTCGAAAGTCCGATAATGTACGTTCCTCCTCCTCGTTCAAGTATGGATGACAATATTATTACTTGGAACAATTTAACAAAGAAGCAAGTAGATCAGATGCTTCATGAGGAAATGAATAGGGAAATTGATTTTGGCATAAGGTTGAAAAAACAGCAAGAAGATGTGGATCAAGACTCTAGGAAAAAATCGAAAAAAGTATATATCATCTTAACATAATATCTCTTAGCATAGAATCTCTTTATTTTATATTATCAACTAATATTAATTCTTACAGTCGAAGCCAATGATGAACTTTTTCAAATCACTAAAAAATGCGTTTAATAGCCCCACATCATCGACTAGTGTATCGCCAATTGGGTCCCCAACTCGATCAATTATTCAACCGAGTCCCATTCGTAATACACATCTACCACGTCCTCAACCATTGGAAAGCCAACGATCTTATTCTTTTGATTCACAGTCACGTCCATTGTCTGGTCGTAGTAATTCATTAATGTCAACAAAAAGTGATAATAATTTTGTTAGCGGTCATAGTGTAACCGTAACTCCAAATTTTCCAATTCCGCATGATTATATACTATGTCGTATTTGTGAGGAAATGATTCCTAGTTATGAGATAGTAGCGCATTCAGAAACATGTACTATCACTACAGAATATGCGATTAAATTACAGGAATGTGACGGTAGGCTTCGCAGGTTAATTGGGGATGTTACAAAGAGAAAGGCAGAAATCATGGTAAGATGTTAATTCTCGATATATTAATTATTTCGCATATGAACTATTTTAACGCAAGCTTCCATAATTTATTTTCCTGTATTTATCTTTAGGAAAGAAATACCCCTTACCAAGACTATTATATTATAAAAGACTCAGAAGTGATGGAAGAAACTGGATTAAAGTAAGATATATATATATATATATTATTTTTAGCGTGTTGCCATTTACTCATTTAATAAATAACATTATTCAGGGCAACTGAAATCAAAGAATCATTAAATCATCGAGAAGCTCTTAGAAAAATAGAAAAATATGCAACGAAGTTGGGCCG